TCCTTATGCCTAATAAAAGAAGGGCCCAAGTCAAAGAAGTCACTAAATACAAGAGAGCTAGGTTTTGACACTGACTTCGGTGATTATTTTAGCATACGCTGCTCTGGTCATACATCCATGAGGCATTACTTATTTCAGTAGACCTTGCTGAACAGGGCACAACTCCGGGAAACACTTCACTTTATTCATGAGAAGACTCACAGTTGTACTGGCTTGCAGGAGTGGGGCCTTGTGTTTTCAGCTACACTCACCAATTCAATAGCCTTCTCACTCTGATTTAGTTTTGTAATGTAGAATTATATGGAACGGTCTGATTTTGGTTAAATTTCCTAATAACTGTAAGAGATTCTTGTCTGGAATTAGTAATTATTATAAAAGATGAAAGGGTAAAAAAGAAGCCAAGAATTCTATTTGATATTTTTTCAGTTGTGCTAGTCTGCATCTTTTAAAATATTTCAGTAAAATATTATGATAGGAATACAATTCCTAAACTACCTGGAAGAACTGTGCCATTATACATGACAAGAAATTTCACGTAGCACTTGGTGTAGACATATTGAAGATTTTGGTAGTTAAATTGGTCAGATTCATCTCTTTTATTTGAAAGATTTTGCCAATTAAATTAGTCAGATTAATCTCTTTGAGTTGATTTTTTGTTACAGAGAGTGTATAGAGATTCACTTTTATTACTATGAATATTAAAACAGCTAATAATTTTAGAACCCTGAGCATAGCAGATCAATATTGCACCTGTTATAGCGCCAAAGAAGAGCTATTACTGCCAGACGTAACAGATTCTTTTGTTAAATAATTCCCCTGCACCGTATAGGTAAATACACTATGTATCATTTCATTCATTCATTTTAAAAATTTGGTTGCTTAGGACCGGATTGTGACCATCTTCATGAGTTACAACACAGAGACACACCGCTGCATCATTCCTTAAGATCTGTACAAAAGTGAGAGAACAGAGCTGAGGATTTAGCCTATTGTGGCTGCACTGTTTCTGCAGTCACTACTCTGCCAGTAACTCATTATGGGTAGACTGCGCTGAGACACCTTAAGGGTAAATATAGATTCTATTTGGACCCAAATTGTGCTCCTATCAGTGTCTTCAGCACTTATTATTTTATCCTTAAAAGCCTTGTGATGGCTTAAATAACTTAGACTACATTTTTAGAAATATTTCATATGTAGTGCAATAAAAGAAAATACAGTATATATTTTCCTACATTTAAAGCAGCAGAAAAATGTCCACACACGTAAGACAAATGGACAGAATCTTTTAGTGAAGTCATGGGAGCTTTTCTGTTGACCTTAGTGAAAGCAGGATTAGGTCCCGTGGCCCAGTAATAATAATAGTTTCTATTTAAGACTTTTTATCTTTGGGTCTCAAAGCCCACTTTACATATAAGGAATTGAGGCATAGAGAACTGAAGTGATTTTCTGTAGGTCACACAATAACCAGTAGAAGAGAACTGAGGTTTCCTTACAGCCACTCCAGTGCCCTAGCCCCTATGACCATGTTGCTGCAATATGCGAAGCATCTTTGAAGTTACATGTTTTACTTCTGACAGTCTCTTGGACTATTTGATTCTAAGCCATGAAGGTTCATGATGAGCTAGAGATTGTAAACATTCCTTAGACTCTCGGAACAAATTGGCATTACACAAAAGCAGGGCTTTCTTTTTTAAATGTCACTTTTGCTAATCACTGTTGTATTCAAATTTCTGAGCATTGTATGAAAAATAAAAATGATAAACAAATAAGAATTTTCCCATTTTTGATGATATGGTCATGAAACCAATTTTTAAGAGATTGCAGGTTCTTTTCAGACTTTATGCCTTGCAATTGGGGAGCCAGAGATAAACAAGAATCCTTTCTAATCCAGGTAATACTATAAATATCATATTTTTGTTCTTGGTGGAGGCAGGCCAGATATCATCAGCTTTTCAGATGCACTGGTCTTTCTTAGTGTAACAAAATATTATGGCTGTCAGTTTGTTCAAGACTGTCTCCTTTAAAATGGTCAAACTCCTGATTTTTCACCTGTTGCTGAGGAAGCCTTTTAACCATATGTTGACTTATAGTGTAACATCTGTAACTTTTGACTCATTTATTTTAAGGAGGGGGAATATTTTAAGAAGCTAAGTCTCACAGAATTGTTGAAACACATTGTAAAGGGGAGGGAAATGAACAAGCAAAGCTTATTGCTGTGTGTTATTTTGTACAGCCATCAGACCCTGCGCATGATACTTCTTGTTGCCCAATCAGAAGTCATAAGCTATTTTCATGGCAAGGGAGGAAGAAGGTCATTCCGTAAAGTTTTCTTCACCTGATCTGGGAACATTTGAACTTTTCTATGTTACATTTCTCTCCCAATATGGAAAAGAAAAATGTCTTGCTCTCAAAAGCCATTTAGGTGTTCCACCATTTTTTACTAATCCTACTTTTGGATATATCTCTTGCAGATGAAACCACTTACAATAATCTGTCTTTCCTGACTGGAAAGACTTTCTGGTAATTAATCTCTCAGTTACACTGTCTACCCATTTTAGGAACTGTATAGCATCCATCACTATAGTATTTAAGCACTCTGATATACTAATTTCTTACTACTGAATGGTCAGGGAATTGTACAGTAGTGGTAATTTTTGGTTACGTGACATGATAGTTCTAGTCCTCAAAGAATTCTGCAAAATGAATTTTCTTCAATAAGAAGCCAAGTCTGTCAAACAATTATACTCTTAGGAAGAGTGAAAAGATATCTGACTCAGAAAGCTTTGTCAATGAATACCGGTGGCCAACTTCGCTCTTCAGTTATACTGGAGGAAAGAGCTTGGGCCCTAAGGAATGGTGCTCTTTCAAGTGGGTCATGTGTGTGTGTGTTATGGGTTAGGTGACTGCACTTTTAAAATAAACTGAGCCACTTTGGTGTCAACATATTTTAGGGTTGCAAGATTGTGCTATAGACAAGAATACTATTGTTTTTAAGATGATGACGGATTCTCACTCTGTAGCAACATGCATATATTACTGAGTGGGGTAGACTTTCCAGCAAGTTGGGGTGTGTCTACACAGCACAGTTATTTCAAAATAACTAATGTTATTTTGAAATAACAATGCAAGTGTCTACACAGCAATTCTGTTATTTCTAATGAATTCAAAATAATGGACAGCTTATTCTGACTTCTGTAAACCTCATTCAGTTAGGAAAAACAGCTATTCCGAAATAGTTATTTCAAAATAGCTGTAGTGTGGACATTCCACTGCTGCTATTTTGAAATAGCTCCTCTCCAGGGCCATTCAAACTAATTACTCCCCAGAGCCTCCTGAGGGCTCTAAATCGAGATAGTATGTCCACACTAGGGAAGCCTGTTTGGACTAATTTTGAGGCTTTCCTGTAGTGTAGATGTGCTGTTTTGGAGTATTTCTTCCGGAACAGCTTATTCCAAAATAATCGTGCAGTGTAGATGTACCCTGGTGTTCTGAAAGAGTTTATCTGCTACAATGGACGAATGTGATTAATATTCACATTGAATAAAATAATAGCTTAGGTGGTGACCCTGCTCGTCCAGCTTTTCTCTTCATTCCAAACCCTGTTCATTGCACTGAGTACTCATTTTATAGGACTGTTTGTTCCTGGTAAACAGAGAGCAAATTCTATTTAATCTAGCAATACATCAAAACAAATATTTTGGACTTCTCAGAACCAAAATCAGACACAAACTATGTTTTGATTCTTAAGAATGAAACATTCCAAGCGTCCTAACGACATTTCTGGAATATCATATGAAAAACTGTAACTGCCACGGTAACTTCAAGATATATAGTTATTTTAGTGGGGATGGGGGCTCCTGCAATCCAAGATTCTCTTAATGCCAGCTGCCAAGAGAGTTATGGAAATATCCTGATTTTGGTACACCAGAGAATGTCATGTGAGCTCTCCAAATTAAAGCCAGTTTCACACTGGTCATTACGGTCATTCTACAGTGTGTGAAGAAGTTATGCATATATATTGAAAAATGTGTTTTACGTCTGTATCAAGATATTTGTCACCAGCAAAAGTGAAAAACAGGTTTTCCTCCAAAAGGGTGATAAGAAAAGAAGGGTGATCAGCTGTTTGTCGGCTCAGCGTGCTAGTCTGGACGCTCCCCTGCCGATATCAAAGCCCTTTGTCGGCAGCCCCGGTAAACCTCATCCCACGAGGAATAACGGGGCTGCCAACAAAGGGCTTTGATGTCGGCAGGGGAGCGTCCAGAGCTGATTAGCTGTTTGTCGGCTCAGCGCGTCAGCCATGTAAATTTAAATGAAGCGGCGATTATTTAAATCGCCGCTTCATTTCCCTTTGCCTACAACCCTAATCTACATGGCTCCGTCGATGGAGCCATGTAGTCTAGACACAACCTCAATGTTGCTGAAGTTGTGTATCTTAATTTGACTTTATCCCATAGTGTAGACATACCCTGAGTGACTAGTGCAGATGAGGCTGGACACTGTGGGGTATGCTTAGAGAGAGCTTGGCCATTGGTGTGCACCATCCTGCTCGGAGTGGGTGAGATCTGTAGAGGCCTGGAAGACAGAACTTGTAGGCCAGAGGCCATTGGTTTTAGGGAGCTGATCCATAGAAGACACAGAGAAGACTCCTTCACGCTAAGGGCAGATAGTGGTGAGGCACCTCACACCTCTGTGTACCCTTGTGGAGCATCACAGATCTCAGAAACCACAGGTCTCTGTTTAACTATATAGGTTGCACATACCTCAGATGCTGCCAGTACTGACTATAATTTATATTGTAATGTTTATCCGTATTTAATGAGTGGATGTTTTGCTGTTGTAACTGGAGCAAGACAAATGAAGTTGCATGGTGAGCTTACAAGTAATATAAAATATTGACCTTTATTCTCTCCTTAAATTGATGGCACTACACAGAAGGAGGTACTGAGCCTGGAGTGTTTCCTGTCTGCCAGTGGTCACAATAGTTTTGTGTTTTATTGCAGAGTGAAATGGCCATGCTGCTCAAACCAATAGCTGACAAAATCCAGGAAATCCAGACCTTCAGAGAGAGAAACAGAGGAAGTAAAATGAA